CCCCCCGTAATCGATTTCAATTAGCGAAACTGCCGCGCCCAAGGACATTCCTATGAGTACCGTTTACATGGAGAGGGCCTCGGGGCCGATCGGCCAATACCCAACCTTTTTCCCTCCCGTCCGTCGATTTTAATTGGCAAAATTCCCGAAATGCCTGGACGATGCCCCGCTCCACCCCTCCATTCGTCGCGAAAGCAATTGGACCACGATAGTGATTTCCTTTCTGATAGGGACTTGGACTTCCTCTCCAACCGAAATATGTTAATATTCTGGGGGGAAGAGGTAGTAGTTGAATCTCCTCTGGTTAATATAATAATTTTCTATTTCTAATCGTTATTCTATTTCTCTCTTACGAAACGTTGATCAAATTCTGCCATTCTGCGGGGACGAGTGGAGAAAAATTCTTTCCCGTTCGCAAAAGCACAAGTTGAAGGGGGCTTGAACGAAATCAAAAGTTCAAACAAATCCTCTCACCCTTCTTCGGTACAAAATGCAATTGCTCCCACATGCTAATTAACCCTTTCTGACATCGGGTAAATGCAGCCAGGAAATAGCGCGAATGTTCGGCCGCGAACCTGGAGCAAACACCATTGTGACGAGAATTTCAAGCATGGCACGAGTGGCGTCTCGCGTCAACCCGGGTGAACCGGGTTTGCGTGCGAAAAATTAAACATACCCTCCTCTCCCGCCTCGCCCGGGGCCACGAACAAAGCGTTCCTTGGTAAACAAAGGAAACGTCTGTTTCTTATCCCTCGTTTTTTTTTCCAACCCTCTCCCCCTCCTCCCCGTGTGTCCCTTTGAAGAGCAGCCGCGCCCGAGGGGGAGAATCTTGCTTTCGTTCGCCGTTCCCCGCGATAAACTCTTCCGGTAATTGTCGTCGTAGAAGGGAAGGGGGGAAAAGGGATTTGGACCAGTTCTGTAACTGGAAAACTGGCCGCAATTCCGACGAACGACGTTGTCCATTTGCTGAACATTTTTCCTGGAAATATCGTTTAATATTATCGAGAGATGGAATTTTTTTTTCAAGTTTTGTGTGCTTATCTGTTTTATTGTACTTGCTCAGGTATTAATATTAATATTTTTATTGGTATTCGATTTTTTTTTTTTATAAATGTAATATATATGGACTGGAAGAATCAGTTGAATCTCGACTCAATCTATCTTCAAGTGTGTTTTAAAAAATACTTTCGAAAACAGTTTCTTTTATTCTGGAATGTATTAGCAGAATTAAGACAGATTGTCGGAAAGAAGATTGATAAATACTTAAAAATTACAACGTTAATATTTAATTTCTTCTTCGTTGAACTGACTTTCGCATTCCTAAACACAGTAATCGTTCAATTTAAATATTAAATACTCGTGTTAAAAGTTTCTATATATCTCGTTTGAAACTAAACTTCATGCTCCATGTCTTTTGCTCACCTGGTATATGAACAAACTTCATTCAAAACTAGGACATATCCTTCTCTACGGCGTGGTGAATAAGAGGCACTGTCACTTCAACATCGTTCGAGTTATACGCCGTTAACACATGTATCTATTGCAAAATTAATTGCAACGATTGATATGTCACCCGAATCGGTGCACAACTTTCGCGTTCCTGCGCGTGGAAAAAAAATTTAAAAGAAAAATTCTACTTTCCCATAATTGGAGTAAGTTCGTGATGTAACGAGGTATTTATATCAAAATTAATTCCAACGACTGACGTGGCGCACCAGATCGACCCACAACCGGCGACTGTAAGAGAAAGGAACGATGACTCGATCGGGATAAATTATCCAGAAGCTAAATCCACTCTGTGATGTAACACGGTCGAAATTTACAAGAAAAAGCGACCGATCTCTCGTCGCCTTCCACCGAAATATTCCACCATCTCGATTCTTTCTCCATTCTTGTTGTGCCTCGTCGTTTTCCTCTCGATTTCTTTTTCTTATCTGCTAATAATGGTCATACGTCGAACAATCTTGATACCTCCATGATATTCTTTGAGTTTTCTCTCTCTTTTTTTTTTGTTATATAGATTCTTCGTGAATTTACAGATGTACGCTATAAATAACGAATAAATAAATAAATAACAAATAAAATATTCGAGCGATTGTGCGAAATGCAAATAGTATAAAAAAATTATTAATTTTCGATTCATTTTTTCGTACTTGAAAACGTTTAAATATTCAGTATGAATCACGTACCTTTTTTTTATACGAATTTTTCAGAATTTGTCCGAAGCAGCTGGTCGAAAAATTAATGCTACATTCAAAGAAGTCGATATCGTCGTTTTTTTTTAAATTTATTTTATTTTCATGTCTTTCAAATCTTTGTCGAAGCGATTTTATTATATATTTCAAATAGAAGAGAAACTATTTCGCTTTAATTTAATCGAGCCAACTTCTTCCATTTACTTATATATTTTAATAAGCATAATGCACCATAATCTTTCATGGATATGTTAATAACCCTCGCCTATTTTGATCGCTTGAAAAATGAGATGCGCTTCTCGTTGCAGAAATCGAATCGCGTAAACATCTAGGCACGTGTCGCCGTTGATTATCTTGAGGCAATTCTCGTGTCAGTTGTGTATTTTACGAGACACTCATTATCGAAGAGGATTATTAATGAAATATTTACGGGGCCACGGGTATATACAATCGTGATGTAAATTTATTACCGGTACAACGATAAGCTTCGCGGTTTCCGCATTTGCAATTATGTATCCATATTAATGAATTATTGGTGTACGATCGGTGAAAATTAAAATAATCTCCGGTTTTTCTCGTTTCATCGCTCGAAGCGATCTCTCGTGCCGATTGCTTTTTATTCCCCCGCTAGATATTGATCGCACGGATTACAAAAACTGTCCACGGGATCCGGTAATTAGTCTCCATAAAGAGAATATTTCCCAAACCAAAACCACCACCTTGCTTTCCATTCGAATAATATTTAAACATATATACATATATTCACGCAAAATTCTCTCTCCGTTTCCAGAAAATTCTCGATAATTCCGTTCACTCGACGGTCCGGCAGGGGCGAAGGGTCGATGTTAAAGCGACGAGGTCCCCCCCTTCTCTTCCTCGTAACAAACACAATCTTTGCGCCCACGGAACCGATAAACGAAATAAAATATTGGAAAATCTCATGCATATACAGTATCGTGGCGCAAACTCGATTGCGGGGGCGGAAGACTCCGGTTTGGTTCACCGGATGCGAAACGAATCCCTTTCCACCGAGGTCTAACCTCGTTTCGACGAGTCTCGGATCAAATTTTCGACCATCGATCGTACACCCTCCTTGTGGAAATCAAATTTTTCCACGCATCTTGCAAATTTTCTACCGAATCATTCTTCTTCTTCTTCTTCTTCTTCCTCTTCGAAAGAGAGAAAGAGAGAGTTTATCCGTGAAAACGATTTCGAACAACGGGAAGGGTGGAAAGATTAGAGACTCGCGTGATGCTGATGCGTAGAAAGAATTACTCTTGGAAGATGGAGGAAAGGAAAAATGGTAGAGATAAAGAATAAGGGCAAATGGAAAATATTTTATATAATTTTATATAATCGACGGTTAAGGTAACGATATTAGAGATATCCGATATCGAATCATTATCCAATCTTTAGGAATTTTTCAAGGAATCTAATGTATTTGTTTAAAAAGAACATTCCATACGCGTTAGCATGACCACGCAAGAATGATTTTAAATCAGGTTCAACAAATCGAAAGTCGTTCGTGCCACTCTTTATCTCACGTAGAATCGTAAAAAATTGTTACTTATCTTTGGTTTATCTCGATGCTTGATGCTCCATTTTCTCCATTGTGTCTGTGAATCACGATAAAGAAACAGGTGCGAAAAGAAACGAAACTTTTTCCTCCCCGATGACCAGTGGGAAACGGGATCTCTTTGTCGAACGTCGTGAATACGAAATGCGTATCAGCCGTGGAAACGATACGTTATCAACGACGTACGCACAACAACGAGACACGAGACCGATAAGATATTAACCGAGGCCCGTTTGTTTTGTTTACGGAACGGGCAAACCACGCGAAACGAACATTTGCGGGCTGTGTTTACCTTTATGATTTGTATTCGTTCCCGTATAATGTCACTTTCTATACACATTTCTACTTTCACCTCTGTACAGATACGTTCGAGGCGCGCATGCGAGCGGTCGCGATAGCGCTCCTACTCCAATTTCGTCGCGAATTTCACCGCGTCTCGGTTTCCAATCGGTTCGAAATGCGGCACGTTCGACTCGACACGACGATTCTGACAGAAATCCGAATTTCACCGGTTTCTATTTTTTATTAATTATCGAACAATGATATCCGTTTCCACGTTTCGTTCCCGATCCATCGCGAACGATGCATACTTCTCGATGATACGGTACTTGGAGGGGAAGAACGCGAGAGATTATTTTCGAAGTTGAATTATTTCGACGATCGTTGCAACCTTTTTCGATATATACCGGATAAACCGGTTGCTATTTCAAATATGGAAGAAAGTTGCGAGTACTGCCCGGGTGGATACGAAAATGATGACCTGGACGAGCTTATATCTGGATATTTCTTGCGAATTTTAAATCTTGGGATAAATTGCTTCCCATTTATTTGATATATCGGACGATTATTCAGTGTGCCCGGTTTGTACGTTATATTAGTAGTTAAAAGTTTGAGATGTTTTTTCCTTTTTTTTTTTAAACGGGGGAATATCGTGACGATAATTGTCCGACCTTGCAACAAAGTCGGATTCTAGATCCCTTGTTAATGGCTAACGTTAATTTGTTATTTTGTCTTGATACGTATATTCGAAATAGAGAAAGTTTTTACGATACCGCAATTTATTTTTAAATGGAAGAAATCCATATATTTTTTCGTATCTTGATACAATAACAATATATAAATTCCTCTTTTTACGCTTCTCACAACGTTGCCGATTAAAGTTAGACTTTAATAAACTCGAGTAAATTTATCGTTAAGATAGATTAAATTAGATTAAGATAACATGATATTTCTTTACACACAAGCGGTTAATATAATCCGGTTAATGAATTGTAGAATTGTTAAGTATCCAATTATGAACAAGAATGCGGATTACACATTTAAAAACATAGATAAATAATTATTAATCATCGATCAAAAAATCCGGATATGAAAAAAAATAAGACACCTTATCATCATCGAGAATAAATCCATTCCTGTGTTGCATCCGTGTGCAAAACCACTCGAAATCCTATCGAGGGGAAAAACCGAGCAATATCGTTTAACCACTTTGTCAACTGTTCGCTTATCTCTACTTCGCCATATGATTCGCTTTAAGAATGGAGGACACGCTCGCTTTTGACGTCATTCCTTGGATCAACCTTGGATCGCCAATTGGTCGATCGAATAGACGGATCGGTTGAAAAGAAAGAAAAAAAGAAGAAGGTCCAAGCGAAGAGAAGCAAGAAGAAAAAGAATGAAGCGACACGTTGCTCTCTGATAGAGCGTGGGTGTCGTTTTCGATCTTTTCCACCGGAGGGACAGAAAGATGGTTTCGTCTCTCGGTCATCAACACGCCACTGTGACGATAGCAACGACGCACCATGCAAATTAGACGGCCTGCAGCCGGATAACGGTCGATTGTATGCAAATGCGATCGGATTCTGACAGCGACGCCCAATCGGATTCTCTGCCGATCAGCGAGGATGAACTTGGGGATCAACCGGATGTCCCTTCGATATTCGACTTGTCGTTATCGAGAGCCAAGGATTTTCGCGCCTACGCCCATGCTTCGAAGCTCGATCATCAATCGATCGACCCGGTGGTGTGCACGGTGATCGAATTTCGAGCACGATTTTTCGAACTGTTGCTGTTGAAGTTGAAAGGTGGGAAAGGTGTGCGGTTTTAGGTGTATTGCACGGTTATGGTAATCCGAGTGTTATTGGAAGTACGTGTCGTTGAATTTTCAATTCTACGATGAATGATAGAATGATAGAGTAGAGTGTCGAAGAGATTATTGGGATGAGTATTATTCGATAATTCTTGGATAATCTTGTAGATATTTTAAAAGACTTGCGACTTCCTCCTTTGTCGCGATAGTTTTTATTTCAATTTTCGACGAATTTTTTCAAACTTGGAAATATATCTTTGGTTTGCGTCAAGAAAAATGTCAAGTGAAATGATTACTTTTTGGTTAACAATAGGCGATGAAATATAATTTATTGGTCGTTGTTTTGTTAATCGAAAGAATCTTTAAGATTCTTTAAGATTCTTACATCACACATTTGTTTTTTAACTATACAAATTCGAAAATTGAATCAAAAACGAATTTTCCTCCTTGTGAATTATTAAAAATCTTCAATTACTCTATCGAATAATATCCTGATTAAACGGATATTAAATCTATTTTCCGAGATTAAAAATAAATCATCCCGAAATACGCATCTTACGTGAAACACAGCACGAAACACGTACATATATACACGTTCTAGTAATATATACGGTAAGCTGGTAACGAAACCGCGACAGTTAGGAACGTCCTTGCCATAGCAGTCGCCCACGTGTTCTCACTTGGCCACCTACTCGCTGCATATTGTCTCGCAATACTCTTTCAACCTTCTCTTTCAACAGTCTACGACACCTCTCGGTTGTCACTGTTACCGCCCCCGTAACCCTCTCCCCCTTTCCTTATCTCCTCCATTCTCCCAGTAGGTGCACCATGATATGAAAAATGAGGAGGAAGAAAAGCGCGGAGGGCTGATAAAAGAACGAGGGAGGTCGGTGTATGTATATATATATATCTCCATTCTCGTGTTCGTCTATTTACATAATTGCGGGCTTACACAATTTTCTTGTCGTAACTCATTTTTCACGGTATTTAAAGCTGGAATTACGCGGCATCGCTAGATTATTCTATAAATGGACGACAGTCGCTGCGAGCATCGTTAACTAATATAATAACGAAATGGTAGGCGAGAATTGGAGGGATGAGAATGGATGAAAATTAGAGGGTAGATATTCGTTTCCTCTATATCGTTCGATCAAATT